GGCAGCGGCAGCGGTGGTGGCGACGCTTCTGGCGAACAGCTCGCCTTGTGCGACGTCTCTTCCGCGGGCGGGGGGGACCCTTTGCCGTCAGAGGGTGCGCCCCTCAGCTCCGATGCTGGCGGCGTGACGGGCGTGATGCACGAGGCCGACGATGACGAGGACGGCGCTGTCGGTGCCAGCCCCAGCGGGAAGGTTCGCGTCCAGCCGCCGAGCTATTGGTTGGCAGTCTGCTCGTACGAGGTCGTACTTCAGGGGAAGGACGGCGGCCATTTCCAGAAGCGCATGAATTGCGCGAGGGCTTGCGTCACCCGCCCTGGGACGAGCACGATCGACGCAGGAGTCTAGGGCAATTGAATTGCGGCGATTCCCGCCGCCGACAGGAGGATGGGAGGACGACGCGCTTCAGGGAACGGGGATGAAGGAGGAGGGGGAACGGGCCACGTGGCCATGTGGGTTGCACTGCGCCCCGCTGGGTTCCAGCTCCGCCTGATCGGGTCGCACGTGGTCGCGTCGGCATGAAAGGGCGGGATTTCTGTGAGGATTGCCCTGGGGATTCGTCTGGGTGGTGCGTTGGGGGCTCCTCTGTGGACTCTTGGGGTAGGGGCCCAGGGGGATTCCCATCGGGAGTCCTAGTGAGATCCTCTGGGGAGCCCTTTCCAGAGGTGTCGTCTTGGAAGTCCCGTCGGGGTTCCTTTAGTGATTGCAATCGGGATTATTATGGGGGTCTTCCGGGGATTCCTGCGGGGATTCGCGCGGGGATTAGTATGGGAATTCCTGCAGTGATTCATGGCAGGCCTCTAGTGGCCGTCGGTCCAACCCGCCGTCTGCCACGGCAGTGGCGCACTCTGTTGCACCCCCCCCATTGTGCGTCTGACGCAGGAGGGGCGCATTCCATTGAAATGTTTGACGCTTCGCGCGGCCCCACCAGCCCGCAGATGACGAGCGCGGCTGGGGGAATGTGAAGCCACGGGCTAAGACTCGCTGGGCCGCCGCAGCGGTCTGGGCGGCCTGCGCGTGCCAAATAATTCAAACGCACTTCGCCCATAATGATCCCTCAGGGTTCGCCGTGGGGCGCGTTCCGACCAGGAGGAGGAGGAGAAGAGGAGGGCGAGGAAGAGGATTGGGCGCTCTTAGGTGCGTCAAGGAGCCTATTGGGGCCTCGTGGGGGCGCCTCTTGGGGCCTCCTGGGCGCCTCCGCGGGCCCTGTTGAGGCGCTCCCGGGTGCCCTTGGAGCGCTTTGGGGACCATCTTGGAGGAGATTGATCAAAGAAGGGGAGTTTCTCAATTAGCTTCCCCCCTCTGAAGCCCAAACTTCGCCTGTTGGGCTCCTCGTGGGCCGCTCCTGGAGCGCTCTTGGGCGCTCGTTTGGCCGTCATGGGGCTCTCCTCGGCTTATCTTGGGGCCCTCGCGGGCCCTCTTAGAGCTGTCTTGTCGCCTGGGAAGGCCATCGGAAACGAACTGCGAGAAGGCACAATTCACTGATGTTCCTTTAGTGGTTAAAATGATGGCCTCTTGGCGGCCTCCTGGAAAGTCCCGGAGGCATCTTGGAGCCTCCCTCGGGCGCTCTTGGGGCATCTAGGGGGCCATCTTGAAGCATCTTATGCTATCTTGGGCACTGATGGAGGCCATCTCGTCTTGGGATATCTGAGGCCCTCTTGGCGCCATCTTGGGCGCTCCAGCGCCCCGCGGGGCACCCCCCTCCAGGTCCAGGGGGCGGGGTGCGGGGGGGGGGAACCCTTCCCCGAAGGGGAAGATGGGGGTATGGAGAGACATTTCCGTATCCTGGTGGGACTTGTCGTTCCCATGACCGTCTGCCAAGGTCCCGTGCATGTCGTTAACAGCATCGTGCATGTCGTTAACAGCATGTCCCCTCCCATGGGGGCTTCCCGTTACCGCTGGCCCCTCTCCCCCGTGTCCGTCTACCACGGCAGGAGGGCGCGTTTCCATTGGCCCCCTTGTCCGCCTTGTCGCACTGTTCGTCTGCCACACCAGGGGAACTCTCCGTGGACTTTTGCCCCCCTCCCCCCCCCATACCTGGGCCGTCTGCCACGGCAGAGGGGGGCATTCCGTTGCCATGTGTCCCCTTCGGTTTTTGGGCTCCACTGGTGCTCCTCTTGTCCACCTGCCACAGCGTGGGGCCTTCCTGCGGTAACGTTTTTGTCTTGTGCAGGTCTTCGGCCCTAGCACACCAACCCCATTGTGCGCGATTTTTTCTGCAGAAGCGATTTATTTTAGAACGGGCTGTAAGTCACCCTGATGACTTTCGGCGCTCATTCTGGGATCCCGAATGGACGCGTGCTCCCACCGCCTCTGCACATGATACCGGGGCTTCGCATTGCAGGCAGGCTGCAATTTTGCGCCCCATGTCCGTGTTGCATCGCATTGTGTAGCATCAATCCCACTAAGTGGGATAGCTGTGTCCCGTAGGTCGTCTGCCACGGCAGGGGGGGCATTCCATTGCCATTTGTTCCCCTCGGCTTTGGGGCCACACTTGCGCTCCTCTTGTCCACCTGCCACAGCATGCGGGCTTCCTGTTACCGCTTGCCCCCCCACCCCGTGTCCGTCTACCACGGCAGGCGGGCGCGTTTCCATTGGCCCCCTCTGGGCCGTCTGCCACAGCAAGAGATATGTTTGTCACCTCTTGTTCACATTGTCCGTCTGCCACACCAGGGGAACTCTCCGTGGATTTTTGCCCCCCTCCCCCCCCCGCCTTCCCTACCTGGGCCGTCTGCCGCGGCAGGGGAGGGCATGCCGTCACCATTTGTCCCCTTCGGCTTTTGGGCTCCACTTTTGCACCTCTCCTCCACCAGCCACAACATGGGGGCTTCCCGTTACCGCTTGCCCCCCCCCCCCCCCTCGTGTCAGTTTACCACGGCAGGCTGGCGCGTTTCCATTGGCCACCTCTGGGCCGTCTGCCACAGCAAGGGATATGTCTGTTACCTCTGATTCGCGCTGTCCGTCTGCCACACCAGGGGGACTCTCCTGGGACTTTTGCCCCCCTCCCCCCCCCCTCTCCCCCTACCTGGGCCGTCTGCCACGGCAGGGGGGGCATTCCGATACCATGTGTCCCCTTCGTGGAAAGCTGATCTTGAGCGGCGGAGATGGGAGATCGACGACGACGGACGACGACGACGACGACGACGACGACGACGACCGAACATCGTGGCTCCATAGGGAGCTCCACCGAAGGCCCCAGTGATATTGTCCGCATGTCGGACTCGGGCCAGTGCGGCGCACCCGTCACGAGGATCGTGGCCCCATGGGGCGCTCCACCGAAGGCGCCAGCGACAGGGCCCGCATGGTGGACTCGGGCCACTTCGGCGCACCCCTCACGAGGATCCTAGCCCCACAGGGAGCTCCACCGAAGGCCGAAGTGGCAGGGTGCGCATGGCGGACTCGGGCCAGTTCGGCACACCCCTCACGAGGATCGTGGCCCCATAGGGAGCTCCACTGAACTCCCCAGTGGTGTTGTTCGCTTGCCTTTTGCTGGCGCCCCTCCGTCTTTTCACCTGCCTCGCGGTACTCGCAGTTGCATATGATTGTGTCCTTTGTCAAGCTAATTTGTTGGGGGTTAGCTCGTCCGCCAATGTCCGGGAGATGCGTGCGTGGCGGTATCCGGCAGTGTGAAAACGCGGATGCCGCCACACACGCACCCCGCAAAACACAAAGACATATTCGCGTTCATGCCAATGCTGTCTTGTGCCCCGCCTGGCGTGGCGGACAAATCCTGCCCCTTGGGCCGTCTGTCACGGCACGGGGGGCATTCCGTTACCATTTGTCCCCCTCGGTTTTTTGTCACATCGGGGGAACATTCCGTGACGATTTGCCCCCCCCCCCACCGGCCCTTTGCCGCAGCAGGGGGGCTGTTGCTACTTGTCTCCCTGACCGTCTGCCACAGCAGGGGGCGCCCTCCTCGTCGCCCCCCTCTCCTGATTGCTCCTCTTCAGTGGCCTCCGCTACCAGGCCGTTTGGAGATCGCCCTTGAGAAAACGCAGGCTTGCTTGGACCTGCGCGATATTTTGGCGAAGTGCGAGGGCGACGCGACATATTGGGATGGTGTCCGGCCTGCTGTTGCAAAATGCGTGTCGTTGAATTGCACTTTTGGGTACCTGGAAACGAACAAGAACCTGTTGGGCGTGAAACTGTTAGGTGCTGCCATGGATCTGGCACAGAAAGCCAACGACAGCAACTTCGAGAATTATGTGTCGGACTTCGTCAGCATATTAAGCCCCTTCTCCCGCGACATGTTCGTCGAGCTTGGTGGCGTGGTGGACGAGGACGAGGACGAGTTGGCGACGTTGTTCCCGATGCAGAAATCATTTGATCCCCTGCGGCCCACCTTCTCGGCTTTGCAGATGCCGTCCGAGGAAAAGCTGGCCCTGATCAGGGACATCCTGGTAAACGACGTGTGGGCGAAGCTGCTGGGTCGAGGTCAAGACGCGACGTGCGTGATCATGTTGCTGTCGCATCGCATCGGTCTTTTGTTCGAAAATGCCATGGTTCACTTGGAAAACGTGCCAGAACCGTTCAAGGATATCGTGAAGGTCGCTCGGGTGCTCCACGCGCTCGCCGACACTGGGAACGACCGCCCTGAGCTCCATTACGTTTCCCAGGTGGAGTCCGCATTCGAGAGTGGGGAGCACACTGTATTGGTGGCCCTTCCTCTGTTTATCAGTGTAATGATGATGATGGTGATGGTGATGGTGATGATGATGATGATGATGATGATGGTGATTGTGACGATGACGATGGCGATGGCGATGGCGATCACGAAGACAAGAGGGGCGAAGGGGAAGAGGCGAGAAGAGAATAGGTGACCAGAGGGGCATGGGGTAAAGGACATCCCCATAACCTACCAAACTGTTGTTGGACAGGCCCGTCTTAAATGCCTCGACGGCCAACCAATACATCCACCATGACAGGAGAGAGACGGGAGAAGGAGCAGGAACACAGTCGGCTGGTATTAAACTGCGTACAGACATAACCCCGCCTTGCACAGC